GCTGGTGGTGAGATGCTCTGTGGTCAGTGTTCCATCGAACCCGCATCCTCCCGGCTCTCTGGGAATGCAGACACCAGCTGGTGGTGAGATGCTCTGTGGTCAGTGTTCCATCGAACCCGCATCCTCCCGGCTCTCTGGGAATGCAGACACCAGCTGGTGGTGAGATGCTCTGTGGTCAGTGTTCCATCGAACCCGCATCCTCCCGGCTCTCTGGGAATGCAGACACCAGCTGGTGGTGAGATGCTCTGTGAAAACCGGATCCCGGACTTTGACACATGCTGCATGTTGTTTGAATCACATGTGCAAAAATATCCGGATTACTGCGCGGGGTAGGGGGATGTGTCCCAGTGGCATGTGGCAAGCTTACTGGCACCCCTGGGGTTTCGGTTATTTATTTAGTCGGTTGGTGGAGGCGACATACAGGCGAGGAAATGACGGGGTGAGAGGGCAGGGTCAACCAGCTCCCCTGGTGTCTTTGGTATTAAGGGCTTAGTGGTGATACAAATACGCTGCCAGCCACAGGATCTGAACCCACAACCTTCTGGAAGCATACACAGATCCCAAACCCACTGAGATACACCCCACTCTGTTTACATGAATGGGCAGGTTTGAAGTGTACCTCAGCAGGTCTGTGCCTGTGATCGGAAATTTGCTGGTTCAAACCCCATCCTCAGCGGAATCTCCATCGGCCCCTTGGGCAAGGGCCTTAACCCCCCGAAAAAAAGGCACCAGATAAATGGCTGACCCTGAGCTCGGACCCCAAGCTTCTCTTTCACCTCTGCATGCGTGTGTCTCAAAGCAGAGCATGATGGGAAATGCGAAAATGTAACTGTTCTAATGTAAAGGGTAAATGAAGCATCATTTCATTTCAGAAGTAGCAGAAGGACTGTTATTTGAACTTGTACACAATGTTCTGTCCTTTATTTTTTAATAACGAACTGAGCGGGGGGGCTCATCGGGGAGACCGACCACGTCACTCTGTCAGGGTCACGGGAGCCCTGCCTCCTCATGCCACGTCATCGCCACATGGGGACATTCCTTCTCCCACACACTATAAATAAAGGTCCCCCTAGATTAAGCCATGCGCTGAACATCAACATGTGATTAATAGACAGAGCGTGTCTCTGATACAGGAGTTAATTAGGTGTGAAGTGTAAAAGTACAGCAGAAAGTGCCGGAATGCTCATGTCCGGGACAGAGCGTGTGGTAGATCCGCTGCCGCTGTCCCAGGTTTTATATTTGGTCCTTTCACAATGATGGATCGCATGGTGTGCGCGTGCTTTCACCTAAGTGCGGACCTCACACTGTTTCTGGAACATTCCAGTCGTTTGTGGAGGCCTCCCACCCCCTGGTGAACAGCTGTGTGGGACCCCAGAGTCACTTTCATGTTGGTTTAATGGTCCTCATAGTGCCAGCGAAATGCCTGTTTATTACACATTGAATGCAGCAGGTTTTCTCACTATCGAACAAAACTCTGCTGCATAAACTCGGAACAGTCAGTACTGTCCCAGCCATGTCCCAGGGATGGGGGGATAGGGTGTTGGGGGGAGCGGGTCGTTGGGGGCATTGTGAGTGTTTTTTTTTCTCCCGATCGCTTCAGATGAACGGCCTCAGCACAGCCATGACCTGCTGGGGGGGGGGGGGGGGGGGGGGGAAGGGTTATAATTGTTTGACACATTTGACCGTCCCTATACAACCAGACCCGCCATTCAGCAGTTTTTCCAAAAGCACAAGGGAAAAAAATCACGGGAAAATGACTCGTGATTTGGGCTTTGATGGGTTGCAGGTTCAGGATGTGCCTTTTGGGGCCCAGGTGAAATCAGAGCTCAGTCTTGTGTGAGAAAAAGGCATCTTCACCTGATTCACATCCACCCAACGCCCCCCGCAGGTGTACCTGGAGAGGCTGCTCACATATGCCGAGATCGACATCTGCCCCGCCAACTGGAAGCGCATCGTGCTGGGGGCCATCCTGCTGGCCTCCAAGGTGTGGGACGACCAGGCCGTGTGGAACGTGGATTACTGCCAGATCCTGAAGGACATCGCCGTGGAGGACATGTGAGTGCGATGCGGCAGCCCAGTCCCCGCGCAGATTCAGACCTACACGTACAGCGGCCCAGCGTCCCCATGGGGCGTCTAGGGTGTGGCAGAGGACAGTGACCTTGTGCAGAGAGCTGAGGGACCGCCGCGTCCTGTTTGCTTAGGCTCCGCCCCTTTGACCCATGTGTTCAAAGTGCAGACATGCCACCCCCCCTCAGAAAGGTTTCTTCCTCTTCGTGACTCCTGTCCCTGCTAAATTTAGCCGTTTGTTGCTGCACAAATCTGAGCGTCTGGGTAGAAATGGGTCCAAATAACAAAGACACTGCTTTTATTTCTGATATGTGCTTATTTCTTAACATTAGTGAAATTAAAGACAAATATCACACCTACTGAGAGCAGGTCTTTCACTGATTAAAGTAATCATGTCTACAGAAGAACTCTTCATCATGATTGTCAGTAATTGTCTTTTTAGTGCAGTTTAAAGCAGTCCTGTGGTTATTCTGTAGCTCAGTTAATGTTCAGTTAGCTGGGGAGTGGGGGCGTTTAAACTGGGGGCCTTGTTAGCCGCAAACAGTCGCTACACTGGGGGAAGTAGGGGGTCCCCGAGGTGACATTTTGAGTGGGACCCCAGAAACGACGACAAGCTCGCCCCGAAAGCGGAAGCAGTTCAGCATCAGGAACATTAAGAGCAGCAGGTGACGCCACAGCGCTGCGCCTTTCACAGGAACGAACTGGAACGGCAGTTCCTGGAGCTGCTCCAGTTCAACATCAACGTGCCGTCCAGCGTCTACGCCAAGTACTACTTTGACCTGCGCTCGCTGTCCGAGGCCAACAGCCTGAGCTTGCCCCTGGAGCCGCTGAGCCGGGACAAAGCACAGAAGCTGGAGGTGAGGCACAGCTCCGTCGCTCCACTAGATGGCGCTGCTGCGGCCTGTTGATCAATCCACCTGCTTTGTGGAAATAATGACTCTTTGCTGGTATTTTTCATTTAATTCTTCACATATGAGTGAGAAATTACAACTGAACAACATTGTGACCCGAGTGTACATGCCTCACATGTGACGGTTACTCTGTCCCCCCCCAGCGGCCTCCTGCTAACATTTGTCTCCCCCTGCCAGGCTATCTCTGGGCTCTGCGATGACAAGTACAAGGACCTGCGAAAAGCCAACAAGAAGAGGTCTGTGAGCACAGACAATGTGAACACGGCACGCTGGGCCCCCGCCATAGTCTCCTAATGGGGCATGGCCACGTCAGACTGCCACCCCCCCATCTGGACTGCTTAGCCCAGCTTGCTGGCTCCACAGTGCCTCCCTTCACTGTGGCATAGAGGACGCCCAATTTATTTTTTTTATTACTGTTGTCATGGGTTATTTTTATTGTTTATGTTGGAGAGAGCTCCAGCCTGTAGGGGGCAGTGTCACTATAGTGCTGATGTTTTTGAGTTGCCAGAATGTCAGCCATGCAGCTGTGAGGACAGAGTTTCCCAGCAAGAGGAAATTAAATCAAATTAGCAAACGGCCCATGACTGAGGAAGAAGATCAGCAGAAAAACTCCCAGTTGATCATCAGACTGTAATGAACTGTTTAAATGAAACATTTGGCAGCATTGGCCAGTTCCTTTCGGTTTTGTATGGATTTAATACTTAATACGCAGAAAATTCCAAAACCAAGCACAAGGACGGTTGTCCCAGGATTATTTTCATCCTATACTTAAATTTCACTTTTGGTGACTTACACTTTCTCCACTCCAAGCAGGAAAGAAAACATGGTTCCTCCAGCTGCTGGTTAGTACTCCACCCAGAAAGCCAATTTTCTACTCGACAGTCCATTCCGATTTTCGAGCATCACCGTTTCTGCTGCTGATTTAAAGAAGCAGACGTCTCCCGCCCCTTAGGTGATGGACGCTATCCTGAAGATCAAGGGCCTCAGTAGCAGGACAAGCTTTTAAAAAAAGAAAAACTTTTCTGTAAATTCTGTCAGTATTTATCATTTTGCCTATTCTTGGTGGAACGGGACAGAGCACCTGCGTGATTTCCTGTCTATCGTGCCGCCTGCATCGTTTACAAATGCCTGTTTCAGGAGACGAGCGCCTTATTAAATCATTGTGTGAAGGAGACAGAACAAGAGAGCCCCCTGAGCTCCTGGGTCCTTCGCTGTGGCATCCGATTGGCCGATTGGTGATACTGGTCAGGTTGCCTCCCACAGGGGATGACATGCCAGCCGAGGTTTCTGTTATACAGCCGGGTGGCACAGAAGGGGTGGGGGAGAGGTTGGGTGCATGAGTGAGTATGGTACTAAGTGGGATGATGAACAGAGCGATGAAAGACCAGGGAGGATAACGTGGGTCTGCAAGAAGCAACCGAAGGTCTCTAACTTGACAAACAAACGATAAACATTCCCCTGAAAACACTAAAGCGTTTTGAGTTGGGGATGTGTACACTGTAGAACGTTCTGGGTTCAGAATTTTTCATCCCTCACGGGATGGTTCTCAGGTTTTAGTAAAGCGACCTGACCGTAGCCGGGCAGGAATGGGGGCGACAAAGATCGCCATGGTTACGTGAGAGCAGGGAATTCGGAGCGCGAGAGTGCTCCGGTCGCCTAGACGCCTCCTGTGAATCTGGGAGCGTGTTCAGTCGTAGCGTGTGCAGTGTTTACCGACGTGTGCTTAAGTCTCACAAGGACACGTCAAGCAGAACACGGAAGATGCCGTGTGCAGCAGGCTTGGCCTTGCACCCTCTGGTGCCTGTATTTTTTTTATTTCTTTTTTTTTTTCCTTTTTCAGAAGTAAGGTTTTAGTTTCTGTTGCCTGAAGTTGAGCTTACGCTCACTTCAAAGGAACCTGAAATTCCACACTACACAAGTTGCTGTTAAACCCAGTGTGGATCCCCGCTTGAATGACATGGGAAGCCAGATGCATGTGTGTGCGTGCATGTGTGTGTGTGCATGTGTGTGCGTGCATGTGTGTGCGTGCATGTGTGTGCGTGTAGTCCAACAACTTAGTAACATATGGGTGATATGGCATCTCCTCTCAAAATTAAAAATCTGGAAATATTTTGCAAATGCAAATTTGTACAGTGTGAATATTGTGCTGAAATATTTAACTGGGTTTTCATATGGTATAAAATTATGGCGGAATAAATACTCCTAATAATAAAAAATAAATAATAATTATGGATAAATTATAAATAATTTGATTGGAAATGAGAAACGATCATCCCTTTTACTAGTAATTAGTTTGAAATTTGGGATGTTCTGTTGTAATAGATCATTCAAATATTACAAGACTTTTTTTTTTAATACCCGAACAAGTTTTATCTCTGAAAGCGATTTTAATGTAATGTGAGTGATATTTAACTGAGATCCTAAAGTCTATTTTGTATGTTTTCCATATTTTCCATATGTTTTCCATATTTTGTCATTTAATATTCCCTAAGCTCTTGTAATGGCAATATTTTCAAATCACCGTGACCAAACTTTCATAGACTGATTTTTTTAATTTATTTCTGAAGCAGTAAAAAAAAAAAAAACATGATTTGTTATGATTTTGAAATTTTGAGTTTAGAGCCCTTTAATACATTCCATATTTATGTTTGCCTAATTATATATTCAAGAATTACAAATAATGAAATTTTTCCACAGTTGACCAAAGAAATGTATATAACGTTAATTAAAATGTTAGAATTGAGAGTGCGTCGTACGCTCTACACAACGCGCCATGAAGCGTGTCGTATCTTACAGCGAATGCAGGCCAGTGTGTGACTAAGAGCTCTTTTTGTGCTGTTGTTACTGGTGGTTGGAATTGTGGTTATGTTCTCAGGAAGCCCCCTAGTGGTCACTAAATCTGCAGCGCAACACAAGCAGGCCTGAATGCCTTGGGGGTCAGGGGGGGTGTCACCATTATGGGTCAGTCACAGGCACAGACCTGAGGAAATGTCACAGTGATAGTGTTCGGCAAACGTGCTGATTTGGCCTCTATTACTGTAATTAATGCATTAGAAACCAAAATGTAATAAACAGTGACAATGTGTTCATCTGACAACCCAGAAACAAAAATATAGGGAAAATTTACTTGTATAAAATATAAAATTATATTTAAATGTCGTGGTTGAATTTGCGATTTTTCACTTGGACACACACCCCTAGACTGCCAGATATCTAAGAGATTTGACCTGTATATTTCGCCATTTCCTTTGGTTTTCATTCCTGAACAGTGTGACCTAGACCCGTCTGAGCAGCGGTTGGTCGTTTGTGTGTGAAAGAGAGACCGAGATGCACCGAAGTGTCAGTCTGTGAAGGAACCGCTGACTGGGAAATGAGAGTCTGGCGCCCCTGCTGGACACTGTTGGAGTACCAGAAACCCTGAAACGATCGCATGGCACCAAAAGAGACTTTGTTAGCGTGGATGCCAGTGAACCTCTAATGTCAATCCTATTTATTTCGTGTGTACATACTGCCTGATCCTAATCACAGTACTGAAGTCCAGTTCGTGCACTGGGCTTCGTTAGCGGCCGGTGATTTGGCTTCCGCACTGAACTCTACCTCTGCACAGAGTTTTTGAATTTTTTAGGATTTATAAATTAAACATTTTAATGTCTTCTTAAAATGGTGGTTTCCTGTGCTAACACGAAAACAACTGCTGTAAACATGGACCTCGTTTTACGTTCAACCATCGTATAGTTAGTCTGATGTCGTTTGTGTACTCTGATCGTTGTTTTAACTTTCTCTACTAATAAGTTATTTTTCATTTTAGCTTTTGTAAAGACACGTTTTCTTGGTTTGCCAAACACAAAGCATTATGTCATATTATCGGAACTGAATTTTGTTTCTTTTTTAAAGTGGTGGTGTTTTTTTCCTGTATAATGGTCCTGGTCCCGTGACTCTTGGGGATTAATTAACAGCTGGCTTCATGCCTTCTGTGGCTCAGAAATATATTTTTACTGACAGTCCCATTTCATAAACAATATTTAGAAATGACCAGAATAAAACATTAAAACATGCACTCAAGTATTTCTCTCTGTTTTGTTCATTTCCTGATAATATCCCCCTGCAATTCACAATAAATTTAATCATAATTACAATTAATGGTCTTGTACATTCGTTGGCATAACTCAACCCCCAGAAACTGCGAAAGAACCATCAGAAAGTATCCAGTTCGTTCATCTTCACTGACTGACTGAAGATAAATATCATCTAAACATGGCAAACCTGGTTTGAGGGTCTTGTGTTCACACTCAGAACTTGCAGTCATTGTCTGGTAGCGTTTATTAAGAATTTAATTCAAATGACAGTCCATCCATCCATCCATCTTATCCTGGGGTGAGCTCTGAAGTGGTATATAATATTTTATTTCATTTTAATATTTAAGTACTGCACTTGGATATAAATGCAGGAAGGCAGCTCTTTAACCCTTAGTCTTGTGGAGGTGAGTATTTTAAAATGCATTACACTGTGCACCAAAATTCCATAGCGTGACATAAAGAGTTATTCTCTTGTATGGACAACCAGCTCCAAACTATCCTAGTTATGCCAGGAAGGCCGCATGCCTTTGGTCAGTAAGAATAGCTACAATGGGACTCATGTCTTGTCCTTCATGGGACCAGTTGCCACTGGACACTGGGAAAGGGATGAGGCTGGTCAGGCACCTGGGCTTCACTTCACTGGATGGTGCCTGATAAACATTCTGGAATCAGCAGTGCTCTTCCGCTTGAGGTGGTCATTGATGGTGGACCTGAGGGCGACCCCCATGGACTCTAGGGAGCACCTCTCTCATCCTCGGAGTTCAGCCTAATCGCAGTCCGCCTCTTTTGGATGGGATGGTTCATCTCAGTGAGGGGTTTCAACAAAATGGAAAAGCCGAACGTCATCGAGCTGGTCTTGGTCACCGTAATCCGCAGCGTAACCGTCGCAGGTGAGATGTGAGCTTCAGTGAACACGCCAGGAGGACACACCTATGGTGTACGTGAGAGTGCCGTTATGAGGGGACGAGTGCAGACATGACTTATGAAGACGGGGAGTTCAGGCATGTGTGTAATGTCCTTCAGATAACTAGGGCAAAGAACAACGAAAGCTCACTGACTATTTATAGTTTGTTTTCACACTTTTTGTTGTTGACGCTCATAAATTCAGATGTTTGAAAGGTTGCTAGTGTCACATGATCACCGGGCCTGAGTGCGTCACCCTGACATCTTCATGCTGGGTTGCAGGAAAGCTGTGGCTGGTGTTGATGGTCCTGCTCAGGGTTCTGGTCCTCCTCTTTGCTGGGTATCCTCTCTACATAGACGAGCCGCACCAGTTTTCCTGCAACACCATCCAGCCGGGCTGCGCTGGTGTCTGTTACGACACCTTCTGCCCCCTCTCCGTCCTCCACTTCTGGGTGGTTCAGCTGACGGCACTGTGTCTCCCTGGTGCCGTCTTTGTCGTTTACGTCGTCCACGTGGTGGTGTGGGAGCGCGGTGCCCGAGCCTCGTCCGCTTCCCCTGCCGATGCTGTGAGGGTCCGCAGTTTCACAGCAGCGTACTTGTTCCACCTGTTGATGAGCGCCCTGCTGGAAGCGGGCTTCGGAGTGGCCCAGGGCTTCCTGTTCGGCTTCCATGTTCCCCGCAGGGTCCTCTGCTACGAGCTGCCTTGCACCGCGACCGTAGACTGCTATGTCTCCCGCGCCACTGAGAAGACGATCCTGCTGCGCTTCATGCAGGCGGTTGGTGCCGTTTCCTTCCTGCTCAATGTTGCCGACCTGGTCTGCACCACCAAGCTCTTGGCGACCCAGAAGATGAAGAGGAAGGGGGTAGCGTTGATGAGGCTTTACAAGGAAGAGCAGAGCTACGTCTCAGCAGGTGGTGAGGAACTAGATCTCCACCTCCCGTTGACCTTGGACCTGGAAGGATCCCCTACTTTCAGCCGGGCCAAGGCCAATGAATCTGGTCTGGCTGAAGGCCCCAACATGCAGCCAGAGGGGAGGGACCCATCGCCCATACCCGGAAATCAACAGTGTGGCACTGCTCAGCCACGGGTCCGAGAGGATGAGGTGGAACAGACAGGCAGTGAGGCGTGTCTATGCCCTGCCGCTCCCATTGGCACACGGCGCCCCCTCAGGGTGTCCAAACGCAGTCGCTTTAGGCCCCCACCCCCTCCGCGCCGGGACTCGTTAGCCAGGGCTTTCGGTCCTAAGGGGGTGGGACACCACACGCTGGTGGAGGTGGCCCCCGACCTCCAGACCAGCGGCCCCGAGATGTTGGAGAAGAAGTCTGCATGGGTGTAGACGTCTCCATTGGGTCAGGACTCGTCTGCAATTTAGGCTGAGTGCTGTCCTTGTTTGGTCCAGATGATATGTGGTAAATATTTAGCGTAAAGTAGTGATTGGTTTGGCTAATGTGGCTAATCCCTAGGTATGTTATTACAGAGGATAATCATGTAGATGTGTATCATTTCGCAGATGAATATCGCCCATCGACATACTTTGAAGTCTGTGCTGATGAATCTCAGAGGAGCACTGGCTTCTCCAGAATGTTCCCTCGCAGGCCCAGCTGTTGTGCAGTGAATGACAGACACCCTTGACTCAGTGGCTGTTTATCACACAGCTTGCAGCACGGCATCTATTGCCACTGCTCTTGCCTCATCATCGGCAGACGCCAGAACCCCAGGCACCTAAACCGTTCTACAGTGTGCCTTTAATACTTCTCACCGTTTGGTTTGTGTAAATGGGAAAAAAATGTTGCTCGTGATGCTTTTCTCCCGTCGATTTGAGAATTGTGAAGATTGTATGAATGCACACTGCCCCCCAGTGGTGAAGATGAAAAAAACACTCTGGGTGAAATATTTGTTAGATACCGTAGACACACACTCTGCAAATAAATTAGTTACCTAAGCAAGTAGTATAGTTATTGCGAATTCTGTTTAGACAAAAAACAAAGTAATAAGGTCAATCAAGAAATATTTTATCACAATATTCACTGTTAAATTGTACTGAGATGCTTGAGTTCCTGATGAAATGAGACTCCAGGACCCCGTCCAAATAATTTTTTAGATCATCTTATAGTCTGTGATGTTTTCAGAGATACAAAAATAAACTGCAGTGTCTGGATGGCTTCCTAATTGTGCTACAGTCCTTTTTTACACAGCAGAAATGCAGCAGAAAGCCCAGAGATCCAGCTCTGAATCTCCACTTCCTTTGGCGGTCCATAAAGATGTCTCACCGATGAATGACAGTCATGTCTGTGCCCACATGTACTCGTTACTGTCTGCCTGACGAGCTCCTGCAGATTAATTCACTGCCTCAGGGTCTTTGAAAGGTGTGAAAGTCGTGGAGGTCGGTCACTGAACGTGGCACATGTGAACAGCAGGCACCGCTGCTGAGTTATTATTAATTACTCTTTCCTCTCTGGGAAGCCCCCCCCCATCCCCCCCGCTCGAGGAGCAGCAATCTCAGTATGCGAGTGAATGTGCCTGGAAGGATGATCCTTTATACCGCACCGGGCCTGTCAATCAACCACTCACAGGCTGTTCCCAGTGTTTTATTAGCACAGGGGGGTGGGGGAGGGCGTGGGCAGGGGTCTGGGTGGGGGG